TCAGGCAATTCTCCTGCCTCAGCCTCCTGAGTAGCTGGGATTACAGGCACGTGCCACCATGCCCAGCTGATTTTTTGTATTTTTAGTAGAGACGGGGTTTCACCATGTTGACCAGGATGGTCTTGATCTCTTGACCTTGTGATCCACCCGCCTCGGCCTCCCAAAGTGCTGGGATTACAGGCGTGAGCCACTGCGCCCGGCCCCTATAATTTTATTTTCTTATACAAATTTTTATTTTCCTTGGATTTTATAATTCCCTCTGTTTTTGATCTGTTTTGTTTTTCGTGTACTTATTGCTAATTCTCCCACACCCTCCAACAGCCTCTCAGTGAAATTTTCTACATCAAACATGTCAAAAAACTTACCCATTTCTATTTCTTTTTCCTAAGACCTCTGTCTTCAAGCATCGCAACAGTTGTTCTCTAGGTCTTTTATACAGGTATTACCTTAATGCATCCCTTCACAGTCATCTAGGATGTTTCTTTATCCTCTTATCTATGTTCCATCCCTAATATCCTGGGTCTCATTTCTTTTTTTCTTTACTTCCTTGTTTTGCAGGAGCACATCCTCTATCAGCATCTTGAAAAGGATATATGAAAAGGTAAATTTTTAGAGAACTGAACATCTGAAAATTTCTTTTGTACTTGATTGGTAGTTTGACAGGGTACAGAATTCTTGATTGAGAATGGTTTTCCTTTAAAAATTTGAGAACTTGAATGGCTCCCAGCTTCCATTGTTATTACTGAGAAGTTTAATGCCATTTTTAATTTCACTTGTTTGTATGTCATCTTTTTTCTCTCTCTCTGAAAGTTAGAAGATATTTTCTGAAATTTTACAATGTTGTTACTTGATGTGGGTCTTTTTTCATTCACTAGGATGGACAATTAGTACATATTCTTAATCTGAAAATTTAAGTTCTTCAGGAAATTTTTATTGAATTTTTTGGCAATTTTCTTACCTCCATTTCCTGTATTTTCTACTTCTGGAACTTGTATTAGATGAATATTACACTTCCTGGATGGATACTACACATTTATAGTGTTTTATGTTTTCTCTGTCTTTGGTTTTAGTTACTCTTCCTATATAGTCTTTCATTGACTGTATTTTTCTGTTTCTGTTAATAATTGAATTTTTAATTCTAGCTGTCTTATTTTTAATTTCCAAGTGTTCATTCTTACTTTCTGATAGTTCCTTTTTTAAAAAAAAATCCTCTTCTTGTTTCATGAACATAATACTTTATCTTTTTGAAGATTTAAGTTGTAGATTGAAATTTTTTTCTTCTGTTTCTACATTGTCTCTGTTCTTATGAATTTTTCTATTTGTTTTGGTCTATTTGTTTTATAATGGATGCTTTCTTTAAATATTCATAAGTAAGAGTAAAGGAGTAAAACAAATAATTGGAAACTTTGTATGATGGGTCTGGCTCATTGATTAATACATTTTAATGCAAGGTGATCTGACAGCAAGTTAACTTTTCCTTGGGGGGCATCCTGAAAATGTCAATATCTGAAGGTATTTTCTCTGATGCTATTCAGTCCTCCAGAGAAGGATCCCCTAATCTTTTGATTGGGACATATCTTTGTCTGTTTTGTGTTGCTATAAAATAATATCACAGATTGGGTAATTTATAAAGAAAAGAAATGTATTTCTCACAGTTCTCGAGGCTGGAAAGTCCAATATTGAGATGCTGGCATCTGGTAAGGGTCTTCTTACTGTATCATCCCATGGAAGTAGGTGGAAGGGCAAAAGAGTGCACAAGAGAGTGTGGAAAGGGATCAAAGTTATCAGGAACTCACTCCCACAGTAATGGCACTAATCCACTCATGAGGGCACAGCCTTCATGATCTAGTCACCCCTTATAGGTTCCACTTCTCAATGCTGTTCGACACATGAACTTCAAGGACACATTCAAATCTTCAAACCGTAGCGGAAGATAAAGTACTTGCTGACAGTATTCAGAGAACTGGGCAAAGGAAGGGGCTAGTGGTCTTGTCATTTAGTTAGAGTTTTACTTACTCCTTCTATTTTCATTCCTGCACTGTCTATTGTGCCTAGTCTCCCCAAGCTTATCTTGTTCATTTTCTCCAGAAAATAAGCCTCTTGTCTTCAGGAGGATGGGAAAGAGATAGTTGTCTAGGTGGGTATTCCATATTTTCAGCCTTCTGCTTATCCCCGCTTTCTCTTATACTTGCTCCCTCTAATTCCTGAGCCACTGGGCAAATCAGCTCTTCTTTCCTTACCCCTCCCTCTCCCCTTCTCCCTCTCCCCCTCCCCATCCCCCTCCTCCATTCCCCCTCCTCCCTCCCCCTTCTCCTTCCCTTCGCTCTCTCCCCAACTTTCCATTCCATTCCATTCCATTTCTTGAGATAGAGTCTCACCCTGTTGCCCAGGCTGGAGTGCAGCAGTGTGATCTCAGCTTACTGCTACCTCTACCTCCCAGACTCAAACAATCCTCCTACCTCAGCCTCCCAATTAGCTGGGACTACAGGCATGTGGCAGCATACCAGGCTAATTTTTGTATTTTTTGTAGAGGTAGGGTTTTGTTACGTCACCCAGGCTGGTCTTAAACTCCTGGACTCAAGCAATCTGCCCACCTCAGCCTCCCAAAGTGCTGAGATTATAGGCCTGAGCTACCACACCTAACCATCAGCTAATTTTTCATCAGAATTCCCCTCTGAAGGCACTTAGATTTCTGTTTCCTTTGTTCTGAAAACTCAGTTGACTCTCTTCCAAACACTTTCTTCCAAATATTATTGACATCTGTCATCTACTGTTGTCTTCTCTTCTGTATTCATTATCCTATTGGTTTATATGTTTTTTATTCCTTTATTGTGATTTATAGGATTTAGGAAGAAGAGGTTAAGACCTTGTCTCAGTTCACCCTATTTAATCAGAAATCTACTTTCTGTTATTCTTTTTATACTTTTTTAAAAATGAGATGCCTAGAATGGAAGACAGTATTCAGGTCTCATGTCCCCATTGTAGAGTAAAGCTAGACTGAATATCCATTGATCTAAATGGAATTTATTTTTGATTACAGCCTATGTTCCTGTTAGCCTTTTTACTCATTAATTTGTATTTGGCTTCCATTTGCCTGAAAAGTGTGTCTCTGGGTTTTCAAAGTGATCACTTAGGATGTTTTCATTTTTACAACCTGGTTAGTCTTCTTTCCTTGTATCCCTGTATAGATCCCATGATTCCTCTGTTGATTGCTCCTAGATTCTCTGTGCTAATATTTTATGTAGTATATTTACTTTTATTTTCATAAGGGAGATTGTGTTTGTATCTTATTATATTGTCTTTGTCAGAATTGGTATCAGTGTTTTATTGGCTTCTTAAAAAGATTTAGGAATCTTTCCTTTTTTTATGCTCTAGAGCAGGGGTCTCCAATTTCCCAGCCATGGGCCAGTACTGATCCACAGCCTGTTGGTAACTGGAACCCACAGCAGAAGTGAGCATTACTGCCTGAGCTCTGCCTCCTGTCAAATCAGCAGCCCATTCGATTCTCATAGGAGCATGAACCCTACTGTGAACTGCACAAGGGAGGGATCTAGGTTGCATGCTCCTTCTGAGAATCTGATGCCTGATGATTTGGGATGATGCCAGTTTCATCCTAGCCCCCCACCGTCTGTGTAAAAATTGTCTTCTGCAAAACTGATCCCTAGTGCCAAAAATGTTGGGGACTGCTGCTCTAGAGCGGTTGAAATGGCATTGGGAGAATATTAACAAAGCTGGCTAAATGCCACATGGTATCCTAGATTGGATCATGGTACAGAAAAAGCACATTAGTGAAAAACTGGCAAAATTGGAACATTGTCTATAGTTCAGTTAATAATATTGTACCAATGTTAATGTCTTGATTTTTACAAAGGTACAATAATTATGTAAGATGTTAATAATAGGAAAAGCTGAATGAAGGGATATGGGAACCCTGTATTATCTTTGCAATGTTTTTATACATCTAAAAATGTTCCAAGATAATTTTTTTAAAAGAATAAGGCTGGGTGTAGTGGCTCATGTCTGTAATCCCTGCACTTTGGGAGGTGAAACTGGGCAGATCACTTGAGGTCAGGAGTTCAAGACCAGCCTGGCCAACATGGTGAAACCCTATCTCTACTAAAAATACAAAAATTAGCCAGGTACAGAGGCATGTGCCTGTAATCCCAGCTACTGGAGAGGCTGAAGAGGAGAATCACTTGAACCCGGGAGGTGGAGGTGGCGGTGAGCTGAGATCGTGCTACTGCACTCCAGCCTGGGCAACAAAGCAAGGTTCCATTCTCCAAAAGAAAAAAAAAAGAAACTCTGGAAGGACAAATGAAGAAAAAGAGCAGTGATTACCTGTGGGGATGGGAGCTGGGTGAGTGGGAACAAGGAAGGTTATAAGACAGACTTTTCACTGTCTACATATTTTTCTTTGTGATAAAGAACACTTAACTTGAGATCTACCCTCTTAAATTTTTAAGCACATAATATAGTAACTGTATATCTTTTTTATAAGCTGGTGTTGAATTATATAAGTGAAATACTTATTCAAAAATTAAATATAAAAGATAGAACAAAAGCAGCAGCGCTCAGAAGACTCAACACAATATGATGAAGAACATTTCCATGTCCATGCAGGTCCTGAGGCAGGCGAAACTGAACCACGTTGTCCAGAGTTACACACACAGCTGGGAGAGGTAAGGACAGTGTCACATGGTAATGAGTCTCTTCCTGTGTGTCACAGTCACAAAGTTTGAGAAACGTTATCAATTTTACTCTCATCTTTACGTTTAACTGTGTAAGATACAAACCCAATCTGTTTGCTGCAAGGTTGAGCGTTGCTAAAGATGTTCACTCTGTGGACACTGAACACCTGTTTATGTTGATTTTAGACAAAAGGGAGTTATTCGATCAGCATGTCTTACAATGGGCAAATACGGAAAGCATCATACTGATTTGTGAAAATCCTCTTGATAATATTTTGGTTAGCATCTTAAGAACACTCTCCTTCCTTTTAGGTAGATGGAAGAGCTGGAGACCAGTTTATTCCAGACACGGAAAGCACATAGAATAGAACAAATGGTGGCAAGATGGCTTCGGCGCTCCCGGGACAGCTCAGGCCGGTAAGGCTCCTGGGTTTGCAGAGATTTCCATCTGTAAAGGTTTGGTGTCCCAGGGGAGGCGCTTGTGCCCGTCCTGGCAGCACCTTGGGATCATTATCTTCGGCTTGCTTTGTTCTTAAACCATATGGTGGGAGCAGTATAAACAGGTCAGCAATTTTGCTGGAGTGCTTTTCCCTATACCTTACTCCCAACATGTACCTACACACACACACAAACACACTTACCCCAACTCACACACACATTTACAAACACACTCACACACAGACTTATACACACAGAAATACACTCATACATACTCACACACACATGCATATACACTCTGGAGCACACATTCATATATACACTCTTTTACTCTCTCTCTCTGTGTCACACACACACACCCCTTGTCTTAGTACTTGACATGAAACTCAGGCAATCTGCTGTTTATATTCTTCCAGTGTCTTCATTTCCAGCAGCTGTTCCTTCCTTGCAGTCCCTAATTCATTCTAAACCAAAGAAAATGAAATAAAATACAGATCTGATTTCACAGCTACAGGAGAAGTTTAAAATATGGTCTGTTTCGAAGCATTCATTTTTGCTCAGATTTCCCATCTGGCCCTGCCACAGAGATGAAATATTACGTGTCAGGTGTTTCTGGGATACACATTCCTCCTAAGGAACTGGAAACAGCTGTCTTGCTGCTGAGTCATAAACTTTGCTCAGGCTCCACTGCTCTGTGGCCAAGTTCTCTGATCCTCACACACTGAGGTCAGATAAGATGGGGCTGGTAGAATTAGCCCCATTTCACAGATGAAACACCTACGGCTCAAAGAGTGACTTGTTTAGGACCACTTTTACTTCATGCTCAGAAAGCTTAGATGGGTCCCCATTTATTATAGGAGGAAGTTTAAACATTTTTGGTCTGACATTTCAAGCCGCAATCCTTTCCAGCTATGTGTCTTACTACTGTGCTTCCTTCACAGTGTGCTTCAGTTAAAGGGAACTACTCATTGTTCTATTACAAGCACCCTGTCTTCTCCTTCACCCCTTGGACCTGGGCTCCTGTGCCAGATCCCTTCCTCCCATCTCCATGTGGCCAGAATCCCCCGCAGCTTAAGGCCTGGCTGAAGGGCTGGGTCTTCCATGAAGTGTTCCTCAGTCTAGAATCAGGATGAATTTCTCCTGTGGGACCTCATAGTATTTTATTTGTAGCATTGGCATTGTGCTACCCCTGGTGCATTCAACTTATTCGAGCCCATTCATTTTCTTTCTTCTAGGCCTGCCTTCTGTGAGGTCAGGGAAAGTATTGGCCTTCTCTCTGGCCCAAAAGTGATTGTCTTGCAGGAGTGTTGTAGCTGGTCTGGAAGTGCTTAATGAATGAATGGCAGAACTGCTAAGCATGTTGTTTCCCACGGTGGGGTCTGCAGAACCTAGTCCTGTGTGATGCTGCTCCATTAAAAGAGATTCTGTGGCCATATATGTTTGGGAAATGATGCGTCCTATATCCTACTTCTGCCTCCCCTACTTGGTGATTTATTATACACATTATGCACATAATACAGATTAAAGGCTCCAAGAAGTCCCGCAGAAAAAGAGATCTGTTTAACTTGACGTTGCCTAGATATTTGACTTGGAACCCTCTTAACGTCCTGCTTTCTCACGACTGTAAAAGAAAGGTAATGCTGACCTTTGGTAAGTTTTTTTCCCACATCTTTTTTGAGATGTATGACCATACAATTTGCCCATTTAAAGTGCACAATTCACTGATTTTTAGTATATATTTGTATATATACAGAATTGTGCAACCATCACTGCAATCTAATTTTAGAACATTGTCAATACTATAAAAAGAAACCCTGTGCCCCTTAGCAGTCACTTCCCGTTCTCCCCTCTGCCACTAATTTACTAATTTACAGGTAACCACTAATTTACTTTCTTTTTTTCTTTTTTGAGGGAGAGTCTCACCCTGTCACACAGGGTGGAATGCAGTGGTGTGATCTCAGCTCACTGCAGCCTCTGCCTCCCAGGTTCAAGCAATTCTCATGCCTCAGCCTCCCACATAGCTGGGACTGCAGGCGCGTGCCACCATGCTACTTTCTATAGATTTGCCTATCCTGGACATTTCACATAAATGGAATTATACAGTATGTGTTCTTTTGCTTAGCATAAGGTATTGTTTTGCCTAGTATAATGTGTTCTTTTGCTTATCGTACTGACATGGATCAGTATGACATGTCATAGTGTGGATCAGTATTTCATTCTTTTTTATTGTCAAATAATATTCCATTATGGAATATTTTCTTTGTTCATTCGTCAGTTGGTTTAACATAAACATTTGGGTTGATATATAAAGCTAGATAAGATTAGATATGTAGATAGATATGTATGTGATATGAACATTTGAGTTCTTTCTACTTTTGGACCATTATGAATAATGGTGCTATGAACATTTATGTAAAAGTTTTTGTTTAAACATATTTTCAGTTCTCCTGAGTATATACTTAGGAGTGGAATAGTTGGGTCACCTAGTAACTCAATGTTTAGTCTTTTGAGGAACTGCCAGATGGTTTCCCAGAGTGGCCATACCATGCTACCTTTCCACCAGCAGTATATGAGTGTTCCAGTGCCTCTATATATTTGCCAACACTTGCTGCTATCTTTTTTATTGTAGCCATCCTAGTGGGTATGGAGTGGTGTCTCACTGTGATTTTTATCTGCATTTCCCTGATGGTTAATGATATTACACTCCCATGTGTCTAGGGAGTTTTGCTTTCCAAGTGCTTGAGAAAGAGAACAAAGAGAGAAAGTTTCCTGTCAGTGCCCATGGAAGACATAATTTCCATGTTTCTAGGATAAATCACATGTACCGTTGTATGAATTTCTTCTCATCTCTAATCCTGGATGTCCTCAGATTGCTTGAAAATGATCATAACTGAAAAAGCTAAGTATAGGGTAAATAATTTCATTTTCCAGGAATAGACTAAATGGTACCACCTACCACCTTAGTCAAGAAACCTGAGCATCATCCTGACTCCTTGAATCCACCCCATCAGCAGCTCCTCTCAGTTTGCCTTCAGAACTGTCCACCTCTCTGTCCCTGGGAGCCTTACTAGGATCACTCACTTGATTTTTCTCTGTTCCAGCTGATTCTCCACTTTGCAGCTATCGTGGACTTTTCAAAGTGTAAAATGTTCCTGCCCAATGTTAGCCCCCAGCTCTTCCCCACCCTAAACCATTCAATGACTCACCTACCATTTTGCCATGAACTATAAGTCTCTTCACAATCTGTCCCCAGCCCAAGTGTCCAACCTCACTTTGTTCCTCTTGCTCCCTTGCTCACCATTCTCTTTTGTTTTGCTTCTTTTCAATACCTAGAACTCATCAAGCTCTTTCCTATCTCAGGGATTTTGTGCTTGCTGTTCAGTTGGCCTGGAAAATTCTTTTACTTCCTCTTTTTATAGCAGGTCTTTCTCTATCAGGTTACATTTAAACATCACCTTCTTTAGAAGGCCCTTCCTGACCACCTAAGACACAGAGAGTACATTCTCCTGCTTGTTTCCTCCAGGCTACTTGCCCACTCATCACACTTTATAATGATGTATATATTTATTTACTTGTTCATTATCACCTCTGCCATCATGTGGCTTTTCTCCCCCAAACTTCCTGTCGTATATGAGACCAGGGACCTTGACTTTTGTTTCTGCCCTAACAGAGTGCATACTATGTAACAAACATTCAATAAATTTTTACTGATTAAGGGCTTTCATAGTAGGGGACTGTATTATTCATTGAAATATATTTAAAATGTCCACACCTCCTTCTTCCAAAAGGAATTTTTCATGATTACAGTTTTAAAACATGTGGGAACATTAAAATAAGAAATGTTATAAATAGGTTGCAAACCAATCAGACTAAGGATTTAGCATTTGAATACTAACAGCCCTGAATTTCCTGGTAGCTGGGGCAAGAAATCAAGGAAGTATATTGAAATGTCTTCTGTAGTGCAGAAAGAGGAAATATAGATATGCATCTGGAGTCACATAATTTTACATGAATATTTTAGCAATTCTGTTTTTTTTTCTGACTTTTAAAAACTCAGTCATTTCAGCCAGTTGTACTTGCTTTACTTGCCATTGGCATTTTTTTCCCTGTAAAATTTAAATTAGCACCCGGCTAATTTTTGTATTTTTAGTAGAGGCAGTGTTTCATCATGTTGGCCAAGTTGGTCTCAAACTCCTGACCTTGAGTGATCCACTGGCCTCAGACTCCCAAAGTGCTGAGATTATAGGCGTGAGCCACCTTGACCAGCCTCATTGCCTACTAAACTGAGCTTTTATTACACTTCATTTTCAATGTTTTTACTGTTACCCATTATTCCATCATATTAACTTTAGAAACATTTTATTATACTATTAAAACAAATACGCATGAGATTTACTGAATTCACTCTGTCTCTCTGTTGTTTTTTTGTTTTGTTTTTGTTTTTGTTTTAAGTCAGGCTCTTGCTCTGTTGCTCAGGCTGCAGTGCAGTGGGGTAATCTTGGCTCACAGCAACTTCCATCTCCCAGGTTCAAGTGATTCTCGTGCCTCAGCCTCCCGAATAGCTGAGATTACAGGTGCGTGCCACCACACCCAGCTAATTTTTGTATTTTTGGAAGAGACGGGGTTTTACCATGTTGGCCAGGCTGGCCTTGAACTCCTGACCTGAAGTAACCTGCCCACCTTAGCCTCCCAAAGTGCTAGGATTACAGGCATGAGCCACCGCACCCCACCAAGATTTACTGAATTCTCTTATGCTTAATCTAGAAATATTAGTTTTATAGAGCAAGATCTAAAGAAACATAAAGAGCTTAACGCGACTTTGTGCTTTCTTCACTGCTTGGTTTTATCCTTGGGGCTTGAAAAGATGATTTCTTTTAACTTATCTTGAATGTTAATACTAATAAACATACATGCATGTCTACACACACAATGATACAAGGCACATACCTGCATACATGTGTACACACCTACATGTGTGC